TGTGATTTTCTTGGTTTTTTTATAGCTATAATAAGCTTCGAAGCTACTGCTTACCCCAAGAAGAAGAAGAAGATAATAAAACTCAAGAGCCCATAAAGCTTAAAGCATAGCAATGGAAGTTTACTACAAATGCCAAAACAGCACCATCTTTCTATGGCGCTGCAGAATTCAGCAGCAGTTTTTTTGAGAGCAACAGCAAAAATGGCAGAGAGAAGGGACCATTTTTAATTCAATTGCTGAGCCACTAGCACCTGCATCACACTCAACCCCACCTTGTTTTTAAATTGTTTTTTTTTTTTTAGTATTATTTTAAGTTGTCCCACATTGATTCTGTAAGAAAAATGAGCTTAGTATATAAGTCAAGTGGACTACTCCTTATATTACCAATTGATTCCACGCAAACCGCACCCTCTTGCCCCGATTCTCTAATTTTACATTTTTTTTTGTTTTTTTTGTTTACCTTCTATTTTAATGGCTTGCTGTCAAAAATTAATTTAAAAAAAAAAATTGGTTAAGAGGTGGGACAGTGAAGTTGATGAAAGCTGTCTCCTGTGTGTATGTATGTGCCTGTGGCTGTGAGATTATTATTCTGACAGTCTTCCTTCCACTAACTCTCATCTTGATCCCACAAACACACACACACACACACACACACACTTTAATTGTATTGTTAAATTTATTGTGAGCTTCAATTTATGTTTCTAGCTTGCAAGGATGGGCTTTTTGTGTTCACTAAAGGCCGAGGGCGGGTCTCCATACAAATATATCTGCTCAAAATGAGTTTTTTTTTTTTTAATAATAAGTGTTAATATTTAAAAAAAAATAGTAAGATTAGCTGTGAGTGGATTTTATTTTATATTAAAATAATATTTAAAATTAAATAATTAAAATTGATTTGATATAAAAGTATGAGAAAAGTAGTATGGTTAGTTTTGAGTGGATTTTGATTTTATATAAAGTAATATTTAAAATAAAATAACTAAAGTTGATTTGATACAAAACTACGAGAGAAATGATGGTTAGTTAAAAAATACGATTGAAGAATAGTGAATTAAAGTTAATGTGATGTGTAAAAATAATTGAGTGATATTATTTAATTATATTAATAATTGAAGATAGTGAGATTGAGTTAAAATTGAGTTAAGTATTAAATCTATACTTATATAAAAAGACACTCTATTTACTAGAATTAGTAGTAAAAAAAGTCAAAGGTAATTAATGCATACTATTTTCATCAAGTATTGTATTTAATTATTTTAGTTAATTGTTTTATCTCATAACACCTTTTAAATATAACTTACCATGATTTTTCTATTGTGATTAAAAACCAAATTTTACGTTTAAAATCTTGTGAAATTATTATTATTATTTTTATAAAGCACATATTATTTGTTAAAAAATTGTATATATATATAATACACATCACAGTACCATGGTAGATGATTTAAATTTCAACCGACCAAAATGCCAATGATTTAAATTTGAACACACCTATGCGTTTGACCAAATGTCTAGATGATTTAACATTGAGCCCATAAAAAATTATTTAAATTTGAACACACCAGAAATTTTATGTACTTTTTATTTATAAATATATTGAAAGTGGTATTTAATGGTTGTTATATAAACTATTTTAATATATTTGCAATGAATAAAAGTTTGAATGAATAATTTGTAATGTTATTCATAATGTTTGTGACTTATGAGACACGAACACATAACTCCATACATATTTGCCAGATGACGACTTAATAATTTTTTTAGACTTAACGTTGATTAAAAGAGGTATAAAATAGATAATAACATTATTATTATTTAGACTTAAATGGACAAGACTGTGAAAATACCTCATTTAATATCTTTGTCCCGTACGATACATACTAGTATGGATTAAATGTGAATCAAGTTTATTCATATACAAACACACCCTTAATATCAAATTTTAAAACAATCAGAATTAAATGCAAACATATGCTACGATTGAGATGTTACTAGAAGTTTATCTTGTGCATATGCACATATGCGAATAAAATATTATAAATTATATGTATGAATATTACTTTTGTAATTATAAATATAACTAATAGACATTTTATATTTTAAAAGTTTATCATTAGTAAAATGAACAATATAATTTTACTATTTTACTTATATATGAATCACTATATAAATGACATAAAATGTAATGAATAATATTTACTTTTACAAATTTAAAAAATCGTGACCAATTACTTAATTGAAAAAAATATATATTATTTATTATCACATTTGCTTTTATTATTTTAACGATTTAATTTATTATTCCTTTAAACAGAGGCGGATTTATACTATGGCCAGCTTGGGCAGGATTTTTGCTGCTAAACATATGTGGTTAAAATTTTCAAATAAATATATAGGAAAGAAAGACAAAGTTGGAGAACTTGCGAGACATAATAGAAACAATTTTAAGTTTTTTTAATAGTCTATAAAATTAAGTTGAACATTATCTCTATGTTCTCTTCGATAATTAAATTTATTGAAACGAGGATGGGGCTATCGTTGATCAAAGAGAAAAATATAATTTGTTGTTTGTGCACATACAATCTTTTAATTTTATATCTTTTTTTTCCTTCTAATGCGACAAATTTAGATGTAAGGAATGAGTTATCACTATAATTATAAAGGAATGCTCAAGATAATGTCAATGCTATGGATTTGGTCATGGCAAATAAGGACGTGCTTGTTTAAAACAAACTAGAAAAAAACTGTTTTTTTTTTCGTTAACTTAGAGTTTATTTGAAAAAAGTTAGTATGATTTGTTTTTAATTGAAATTTACTAATGTATTAAAATAATATTTACAATAAAGTGATTAAAACTTATTTGATGTAAAAGTTGAAGATACATGATTGGAAATGATATGTAATTAAAATTATGTGAGTGGATAAATAGTGAATTAAAGTTGATGTAATGTGTAAGAATGGTAGAAGGATATTATTTAATAATATAAATTATTAACGATAATGAATTTGAGTTAAATTTTTTTCTAGTTTTTTTCTAGAAATTTGATAAACAAGCACGGCCTAAACAACTCCAAAAAATAAGAAAAGCAAAATGTGATATACATA